CCCTATCACGAGCCTTTTCCATCCTATGGAGAGGGAGCATGGACACGGGGGTCGTCCCACAGTTACTAAAAACAACAGACATAGCCCCACTCCACAAAGGGGGCAGTAAAGCAACAGCAAAGAACTACAGACCAATAGCACTAACATCCCATATCATAAAAATCTTTGAAAGGGTTCTAAGAAGCAAGATCACCACCCATCTAGAAACCCATCAGTTACACAACCCAGGGCAAATGGGTTTAGAACAGGTCACTCCTGTCTGTCTCAACTATTGGATCACTACGACAAGGTCCTAAATACACTAGAAGACAAAAAGAATGCAGATGTAATATATACAGACTTTGCAAAAGCCTTCGACAAGTGTGACCATGGCGTAATAGCGCACAAAATGCGTGCTAAAGGAATAACAGGAAAAGTCGGTCGATGGATCTATAATTTCCTCACTAACAGAACACAGAGAGTAGTCGTCAACAGAGTAAAGTCCGAAGCAGCTACGATGAAAAGCTCTGTTCCACAAGGCACAGTACTCGCTCCCATCTTTTTTCCTCATCCTCATATCCGACATAGACAAGGATGTCAGCCACAGCACCGTGTCTTCCTTTGCAGATGACACCCGAATCTGCATGACAGTGTCTTCCATTGCAGACACTGCAAAGCTCCAGGCGGACATCAACCTAATCTTTCAGTGGGCTGCAGAAAACAATATGAAGTTCAACGATGAGAAATTTCAATTACTCAGATATGGTAAACATGAGGAAATTAAATCTTCATCAGAGTACAAAACAAATTCTGGCCACAAAATAGAGCGAAACACCAACGTCAAAGACCTGGGAGTGATCATGTCGGAGGATCTCACCTTCAAGGACCATAACATTGTATCAATCGCATCTGCTAGAAAAATGACAGGATGGATAATGAGAACCTTCAAAACTAGGGAGGCCAAGCCCATGATGACACTCTTCAGGTCACTTGTTCTATCTAGGCTGGAATATTGCTGCACACTAACAGCACCTTTCAAGGCAGGTGAAATTGCCGACCTAGAAAATGTACAGAGAACTTTCACGGCGCACATAACGGAGATAAAACACCTCAATTATTGGGAGCGCTTGAGGTTCCTAAATCTGTATTCCCTGGAATGCAGGAGGGAGAGATACATGATTATATACACCTGGAAAATCCTAGAGGGACTAGTACCGAACTTGCACACGAAAATCACTCACTACGAAAGCAAAAGACTTGGCAGACGATGCACCATCCCCCCAATGAAAAGCAGGGGTGTCACTAGCACGTTAAGAGACCATACAATAAGTGTCAGGGGCCCGAGACTGTTCAACTGCCTCCCAGCACACATAAGGGGGATTACCAACAGACCCCTGGCAGTCTTCAAGCTGGCACTGGACAAGCACCTAAAGTCAGTTCCTGATCAGCCGGGCTGTGGCTCGTACGTTGGTTTGCGTGCAGCCAGCAGCAACAGCCTGGTTGATCAGGCTCTGATCCACCAGGAGGCCTGGTCACAGACCAGGCCGCGGGGGCGTTGATCCCCGGAACTCTCTCCAGGTAAACTCCAGGTAAACTCACCCAAAACCAAATAAATACTGAATAACTGAACCTTATAAATTGTATATCTTAAATGTTTCTCACAATTATATCACATAAATGTTAAACCTAAAACCGAATCTAACTTTATTATTTTTTAAATACACTACCTAACAGAATACTTCATACGACTGAATGTACAACAATGCATGCAACCATATGACCTGTCTTTGTAATACTCACTTGTGCTTTATAGTAATCTGTTTACATTAATGTTTTATCACTGATTTCATCATTGCTTAGTTAATCTTAAGTTAATTTTAAGCCAGCCTGTAATGCTATGCATAGTATAAGTGGCTTTGGCATGCTGCTCTTATCTGTATTTTTTTGTACCTCTGCTTGTGTGCTCAAATTGTTAATAAATAAATAAATAAATAAATAAATGGATCTATAACTTCCTGACAAACAGAACACAAAGTTTGAGGTGGATACAGAGTAAAACTCTGTTCTACAAGGCAAAGTACTGGCTCCCATCCTGTTCCTCATCCTCATATCTGACATAGAGATGCAAATCAGAGCTCCATGTCTTCCTTTGCAGATGACACCCGAATTGCCATGACTGTGTCCTCCATTGAAGACACTGCAAGACTCTAAGAGGACATCAAACAACTCTTTAAATGGGCCACAGAACACAATATGAAGTTCAATGAAGAGAAGTTTCAACTACTCAGATATGGAAAACTTGATAAAATTAAAACTGTATTTATTTATTTATTTATTTAATTAATAATTTGAACATACATACAGAGGTACAAAAAAATACAGGTAAGAGCAGCATGCCAAAGCCACTTGTATGCATAGCATTACGGGCAGGCTTAAAATTAACTTAAGATTAACTAAGCAATGATGTAATCAGTGATAAAACATTATTGTAAACAGATAACAATAAAGCACAAATGAGTATTACAAAGACAGGTCATATGGTTGCATGCATTGTTGTACATTCAGTAGAATGGAGTATTCTGTTAGGGAGAGTATTTAAAAAATAACAAAGTTAGATTGGGTCTTAGGTTTAACATTAATGTGATATAATTGTGAGAAACATTTAAGATGTACAATTTATAAGGTTCAGTTTTTCAGTATTTATTTGGTTTTGGGTGAGTAAGTGATCTTTGAGAGGAGACTTGAATTTATAAATAGGTAGTGTTTCTTTTATATTTACAGGTAATGAATTCCAGATTTTAGGGCCTTTTATGTGCATTGAGTGTTTGCATAGCGTGAGATGGACACGAGGAACATCAAAGAGTGATCTGTGCCTTGTGTTATGGTCATGTGTTCTGTTGAGGTTGGCAAGATGTTTGAGGGGAGGGTTAATATCAGAGTTAAGTGTTCTATGTATGTAGTAGGTGCAGTAATAAGTATGGATGTTTTGTATGGTGAGTAGGTTTAGTGTTGCCTGTAGTTATCATTCTGACTGCAGCCTTTTGTTGGGTAATTAGTGGTCTGAGATGGTTAATTGTTGTTGAACCCAATGCACAAATTCCATAGGTGAGATAGGGGTAATAAAGAAAGTGATATAGGGCCAGGAGGGCTGACTGTGGAACATAGTACCGTATCTTCGATAGCATGCCTACAGTCTTGGAAATTTTCTTAGAAATTTGTTGTATATGTGTTTGAAATTTGAGTCTATTATCAAGGTGGATTCCTAAGAATTTTCCCTCTGTTAGCTTTGTGATAGGTGATCTGTTTATCATTATGTTAAGAGGGACATCTGTAGCTCTGTTACCAAACTGAATGAAGTAGGTTTTGTCAATGTTTAGTGTAAGTTTATTAGTCCTCATCCAGGTAGATATTTTCTGTAATTCAGTATTTACAGTATTGGCTAGCATGACTGGTATGACGGGTATAAAACAAATTCTAACCACATAATTGAGTTAAAAACTAATGTGAAGAACCTGGAAGTGATAATGGCAGAGGATTTCACCTTCAAGGACCACAACAATGTAATCTACCTTATCTGCTAGGAAAATGATAGGATGGACACTGAGAACCTTCAAAACTAGGGATGCCAAGCCCATGATGATTCCCTTCAAATCACTTGTTCTCTCTAGGCTGGAATACTGCTGTACAGTAATGGCCCCCTTCAATGCAGGCTAAATTGCTGACCTGGAGAATGTATAGAGAACTTTCATGGCACACATAAGTATTGGGAATAGTTAAAGTCCCTTGATTTGCATTCCCTGGAATGCAGGCTAGAAAAATACATGATAATATACACTTGGAAAATCCTAGAGGGATTAGTACCAAACTTGCACACGAAAATCACTCCTTATGAAAGCAAAAGACACAGCAGGAGATGCAACATTCCCCCAATGAAAAGCAAAGGCACCACAAATACCCTGAGGGACAACACAATGAGTCAGGGGCCCAAGACTGTTCAACTGCCTCCCAGCATACATAAGGAGGATCACCAATAGACCCCCGCCTGTCTTCAAGTAGGTGCTGGACAGGCACCTAAGTCAGTACCTGATCAGCCAGTCTGTGGTTCATATGTCAGTTTATGTGCACCTGAAGTAACAGCCTGGTTGATCAGACCCTGATCTACCATGAGGCCTGGTCTCAGACTGGGCCATGGGGGCGTTGACCCCTGGAAACTTCTCCAGGCATACTCCAGGTATCTCCAGGATGCGACCCACACCAGCCGACTAACACCCCAGGAACCCATTTTACTGATGGGTGAACATGGACAGCAGGTGTATTATGGGAAAATGTCGTAATGTTTTCCAACCGCACTGGGGATCAATCCTGAACATTGGTGTGAGACATGAGTGTACTAGCAATTGAGCTACAGGACACCTTTGACCTGAAGCACTTTCTTGATAGTTGCAACAGGACCCATTGACATAATACTAGGAGCAAAAATGTTTGATATACCCAGTGTCCAACTTGACCTTAGTAAAAATTCAATGTACATAAAAGGGCCCAAAATCTGGAACTTACTTACTTACTTACTTGCCCGGAAATCTCCAGAGCCACTGTCTCAGCCACCATCTTCAAAACTACTGTTAAAAAACATCTTATCTCCATAACATATCCAAATATCAGCAAAATATGAAAAAAACTATATAGAATCCATATTCTCATTGTCAAAATCATATGGAAAACTATATCTTCTTTTCTCAATATTTGTAATCCTCACAACCATTAAAATATTGAATATGTTCACATTATGGCAATAAAGTTCAGTTGGAGTTCTTTTTCTATTATTGTCCTCACACTGCTGACTAACTACCCCCTCTTTCAAGTCATATAAGTTCGACCAGCCTAGCATGGGCCAATAAGCCTATTACTATAAAGTTTTTTTCATTCTTATATTTTTTATTATTACTGACAACCTTAAGTAAAAGTTAAAAAAGAAGACCGAAGGGATCAAATTTATTTAGATATTTCTCTTAGTCACTCACCTATTTTGCGACGACTGGCAGTCTTCTCCTTTCCACCATCGATGAGATTAGTAATTTCTTCCTTGTTGAAGGAGCATTTTAGTCGTTCCTTGTTGAGGTCATCAACACAGTGTTGAGCTGCTCCAGCCATCACCATCTTGTTTACCTTCTGCTTCACCATAGCCATCACAAGTAGAATTATTAATAACTACTGATCAATACACTCATATTCACACACAAGTATAAATTTGGTAAATTTCATTATGTATTTTTTTATTTTAACTAAATTTATTAATGTGTTTATACAGATGGTCCACTTCCAATTAGATTTTGCCACCGAAGTGGCTAGTTTATTGTGCACCCCATATCCATCCTGTGGACGGTAGCACAAGAGCATATGGATACACATTATTATTATTATTATAAAGGGGGAAGCACTAAACCCGGAGGATTATACAGCGCCTGGGGGGGATGTGGAAGGTATTCAGGCTTAATTCGGGGAAGTGGGCAAGATCAATTCCCCAAAACAAGAGCCCCCCCCCCCAACAT